GATCACACTCGAAGAACGTCTTCTTCTTTAATATGTCTTCCCATATCTCCGCTTCATAAAGCAGTACCAAGTGGACTGCTGCCAGAAGAACTCTTCTCTTTTTTGTTCTTGGTCCCATAGTGTTGGTCATGATTATTGCTAGGCTAAACACCGTCTTGCTAGCTTTCCTGCATGCACTGTCAAGGTATTCGCGGAAAGATAGTTTCTCGTCTATCATTACCCCTAGATAGCGCAGGGACTTTGTTGACGTCAGTATTATTCCTCCCATGTCCACAGCGAATGGTTTTGGGAACCATTTTTGACGTGTCAGAACAACCATCTCGGTTTTATGCTTGGCGAGTTTTAGGTGGTGTTTTTCAAGCCAGGTCTCGATGGCGTCCATGGTTTCCCGAACCAGTAATTCGGCCTCTTCTACGCTGTCTACTACTATCGTGGTCGCAACGTCGTCTGCAAAGCCCGTTAGCTCTACTTGCTTTGGTAACAGGATTTCAAGAAGCTCGTCGTAGTCCACGTTCCATAGATCGGGCCCCATTATTGGCCAGATTCTCTGGCTCTGCGTCAAATTTGTGCTCCAGAGCGTCTAAAATATCTCCGCAATTTGCGCTGTTAAAGGCCTTTTTGACGTCTAGCGTTAGGAGAAGACATACTTTACGAGCTTTGAAGCTACTAGACCATGCTTGTTTTGCTGTCTTTATGACTTTCTCGATCGCTCCGACTGTCGAGCGATCTTTCTGGAAGCCATGTTGGTTGGTGGCAAAGCCTCCGGCACGGTCGATATCGTTACGAAGTCTTCCTTGTATGAGCTTCTCGAGCAGTTTTTCAGCAATGTCCAACATGCAAAGCGGTCTAAACGACGAAAGAGTTACGGGGGTTCCCTTACCTTTGTCTAAGAGAACCAATCTCTGCCGCTTCCAGACCGCGGGAAACGTGCCAGTTGCCAAGCATGCATTGTATTGTGTTCAGGAGTATGTCTGAGTATTCCAGGGCTACAGTCCTGATCATCGACGTCGGGATGCCATCAGGGCCAGGTGCCTTTCCCGTCTTGAGAGACTTTGCCGCGTCTTGCAGCTCTTTAGTTGTAAAAGGCGTTGATTTGCTATCTTTTTCGTAATGTCTTTTCTCCCACGGCGGGTGTTTAGGAAACAGCTCCGCGACAATGCTGTCCATTAAGGCAGGAGACTTCGGCGCTTCTGGTGAAGCCTTTCTAAGTCGTTTGGTGACAATTTGGTGGGCTTCACCCCAGGTGTCCTTGTCGAGATCATTACAGATCTCTTTCCACAACATCCTTTTTCTTGCTTTGATGGCTCGGTTTAGCATCTTTTTGGCCTGCTTGTACTCGTTTGCATATAAGTCCTGGCTTGGGGAGCGTTTTGCGGCTCTTGTTGCGTGGCGACGTAGCTGATGGCATATTTTGCGAAGTTCTGCTATGTCTGTTGACCACCAGTACTCCGGCCTGTGGAAACTCCAGTTTTTCAACCGCGGCATAGAGGCGTCACATGCGGCAGCAATCTCCTTCATCGTATTTAGCACTGCCTTTTCCGTCTCGCTGCAGGTATCTGGAGTCGGGTTGTTCTGAAGGATAGACTATCTCCGTGCAAGTGAAGCTCGCGGAGTCTCTGGATCAAGCCTCTTGGCATTCCACTTCCGCTTCTGAAGGACTCGTTGTGGAGCCAGAACAGGTGCCAGTCTAACTCTGAATGTCGCAAACTCGTGATCACTGTCACTGTATTTTTCGGATACAGTCCAGTCTTCAATCATGTTGGCTATCCTTGGAGTTGCCAGCAAAATGTCTAGGATAGATTTCTTATACCCCGGTCTTCTAAAATTTGTGGTAGTTCCAGTGTTCAGTACTATGAGGTCGAGTCTTGCTGCGAAGTCTGCTACATCGTTTCCTCTGGTGTCAGAGAAGTCAGCACCCCATTCAGCTGATTTGGCGTTGAAATCACCAGCTACGATGACTTCGCCGTTGAGCTTGCCGATGGTATCTTCTATATTTTCCAACTTTTGGCGAAACACACTAATCCCTTCGTTGGATGAAAGGTAGCCTCGCCTATCTCGCAGAAGGCTGCCTGATTGCTTCGTGGTATAGGTTTTGTCAAATTCACACGTTTTATCTCCAGGCTGTCGGTGAAGTCACGTTTTAGTGCTTCATGGACGTCGCTCTCGGTAGAGATTCCATCCAAGTCAAGGATCTCGATCGTTGTTTTTGGTGTGAGCGTTCTGACTGCACCGATGCTAGCAGTTGCTGTTTTTATCGCAGTCGTGAAAGCAGCAGTGTCTTCAGTTTGCGACCCATTTCTAGAAGAATGCCCCCGCGCTTCATTTGTTTGATAGACTTTATGTCAACTCCAGTCTCTATCGGGTTAATCTTAACCTTCATTTCCTTGAGGAGATCGGCGTACGTTCGCCTTTCAGCTGGTTGGACAAGCACAGCCTTTGTTCTTGTTTTCTTCCTCCTCGGTTTCTTTGCGCCACCCTTACTTGGCTGGTTTTGAGCTTCAGTAGATTGTGCCGCTGGCTCCTGTTCTCTTTCCTTCTTTTTCTTTTGCCAAGTCACTTTGTTCCAGGTATCATCCCAGGCTGTCTTTGTCTGTGCTGGCTTGTCAATTTCTAAGGAAGGGCTGGGCGTGGACAGCGGCCTCTTCTTGTTGTTGTCCTTTCCTTGTTGTGGTGGTTTTTTAAGAGTGACCAAGAGTGTCTGTAGTATTTTGGTCAGGCCCGGAGTTGTTTGGGTCGATGACGCTGACATCCCTGGAGATTCGTTGACCAGCCTATATGTCGTAGTGATGGAGGTAACCAATTTTCTGATCTCATGGTGGAGATTCTTCTTGTCTTTGATGAAGTCGGCTAACTCTTCGATCTTGCTACCAAGCCGCTCCATTGGCGACTTTTGGCCAGTGACGGTCGGTTCCCCTATCCGCCACCTGGGGAGGGGCCCGATGCGGGACCCAGCTGCCCGACCAAGCTGTGTGTGTGTTTGGCCGTGTGTAAATCTATTAAAACTTTTGAACGGCTTGACCGATTTCATCACGGTTGGTGCCATACGAAAGGGCTTGACCAAACTTAGATTTTGAATACAATTTAGACCGATTCGAACTGGTAGATTTTGAGAAATCTCAAAAAAACTACAAAAAAAAATTTTTTGAAATGTGGTTTTTTTGGAATAACTTTTAAATGGCTTGACTGATCAATTTCAAAATCTAATCAGCTCTTGAGATCAAAAAACCACGTCGATCACCGCAAGCCCGGTCAAAATCGGTTGATTCGTTCGTGAGTTATCGTTGTCGAAAAAAACCGAAAAAAATGTTTTTTCGAAATTACATCGAAATTCCTACTTTGACCAATTAAAACTTAAAGATTCTTTATGAGGCTTCAAAATCTGCGTCGAATACCACCAGCTACGTAAAAATCGGTTCACTCATTCAAACGTTATTGCTGTTTGAAAATTCAAAAAATAGTGTTTTATTAAACTTCTACCAGACTTTTGAGCTCGAAATGACACGAAAATTATATTTTGAGCTCAAAGAGCTCAAAAACGTAATAGGTGAAATTTTGAGCGCTTATGTACAAAATGAGCGGGAAGCTGCAGGGATGGCCTATAGGGTCAACCGTCGTCCTAATTTTTTTTTGTGCACAAATTAATATCATTGACGTAGCCTCCGAGGTTCGGATTCATACACTGTAAAGCGACGACGTCTATTAAGGATTGAACTAACATATTTTCATAAGAGACTAAAAAAATTAATCTGGGAAACGGTTGATTCAGCGGACCATCTTTGGATGCTTCCGCTATTTTGATCTTAAGAAGTTCAAAAACTTATTTTCGGAACAGTTCTTGAAGAGTTCTTTAAATACAACAATTTGATAGTTATTTAATTTTTAAAAGTTTTAAGGTTTTTTAGCGAAAAGTTAAAAAATGTTTTGATTACAGGACAATTTGAACCTTTATATATTTTGAAGAATTTGACGTTTCAAAATTTAAGTATCAATTGAAATTTTTGTAAGCAATAACAAGTCAAAATTAAAACAAATTTATCAGTAGCGTCACGACTATTCCATTGTGTTAATTGTATAACCTTGTTTTCGCTCTTTTGCAACTTACTGCCAAAATATGCTTAATCTTATTAAGCTCGTTCAATAATTACAAATAATAATTAGATATGCAGCAAATACGGTGAATACTAAACACAGACATATAGTAACACTTCTGTAACTCCCATTCGAGAACTATGACTTCTAGCTTGAAGTGTCTGACTTTAACTGATTTCTATCTGCTCTGTATGTTCTATCGGGCCAATTAGCCAAAGACAATTGTTTCGTTTGGTGGTCACCGGATGACTCTCCTCCTGATTCCCACACTTACCCGAAAACCGAATCTTTAACCATAATTCATCTTAGCTTTATTTCTCCGAGCTTTTTACTTGTCTTCTTCAATCTACCAACTTTCAAAAAGTTAGGCAAGTCTATTATCAGATGAAATCGGGTGGCTAGTATAGCCTCACTTTACGATTATGCCGTATCGTTTATATACTTGAAAAGCCTAAAATTCTCGATTTAAAATGATGTAATTTTACCAGAATCCCAATAAACTATAGCTCTACCGAAACTCTTGAGCATCTCCGTGACTCGAATTTTCTCCCTTTTATTGTTAACCACTTGTATTTGATCGCTACCCGATATTATCGCCATCATTATTAGTTATCGTCTAATCTGGAATTAGAATATAATAATTCTTGTACCTAAAATTTTAGTCTTGAGTTATCGTGTTCACAAATTAACGATGAAAACCTTTTGGTGTTTGTAAAGTTAACTATACTTAGATCGCCATGAGAAAAATAACATTATGATTTTCGACTAAGGTATATGATGTACTGATAAATATTCATAGTTATGAATTTATTAAACAATTTTCATCTAGTTACAACTAACCAAATGATCTCTTTTACTTTGATGTTTGTTTTCAATGTGTTATGTTATTTTTTTTATCAAATAATCAATAATAACTGATCATGCATGTATGTTTCAGCTCTTAAACATTCACCGTCTAAGAGAAAAAGTATTAGTCGACCATTACGATCTATCGAAGGGGAGCTTGATATTACAGGTAAATCCTATTTGTCAAATAATCTTAAAAAATATTTGCACTTACACGTTGGTTAAATTATTATTTTTTTGTATAAAATTATATATATTCAAACGACATTGTCTTTAACTGCATAAAAGTCTTTTGATTGAAGTAATTAATTTCTGTTATCTTAATTTTTTGTTATTGTAATAAAAACGGTCAGAAATGTATTAAATTTCTGCTTACTATTATTCATATATTATTTTTCACTCTTTTTACATATTATCGCATACTTCCAAGCTTGAATTTTTTGTTGTTAATCGTTTTTTTTATGTCTCAAACCTTTCTGCATTCGAATTATAATGAAGTGTACTTGAAAATGTTTAATATCTAACATTAGTATCTTTCATGATTCATAAACGTATGGTGATTTAGTTGTCTCGGCAACTGGAAATACTTCAAAACATACCACATCACCTTCGACACTTGGTGAGTCTTCAACTACAAAATTTTATTTCTTAAAACTTTGTTTGAAATATTTTATTTTTGTTTCGAATAAAAAAAGGTTACTCAAGATCACATTTACGGAACGAATTGAAAATATTGCGTTATTATGTAGTTAATACAAAAAGTTATTGCTCGATGTTTTATAAACGTATGTATCTAATCAATATGTTGTTTTTGTTGTCATTTTCATTCCAATCGTCGGGATGTCTTCGGTATCGAATGGTTTATGATAATTAGTCAATCCAATATTAATAGAAGAAAAGTCTACTACTGGTGATTCGATGAACATCTTAACTGAATTACCCGTTGCAACATCGACACCAATTAATTTACCGACTACAATCACAACATCAGATGGTCAAGCTACATTGCCATCCCTTGCTATAACTTCAACAGTACGTGCCAGTTATCCAGCTGTTTTAAAAGGCAGAAGTGGAGCTAGCCCGCCCATTCCTAATTTAACACCGTCTGGAAAGACACCTCCACCCGTACCACCTAGAGGTACCCGAAAAAAGGTTGAAGATCATCGTGGTGAAAATATTTCTTCATCTTCTTCTACATCCGGTCGAGGTGACGTCAATATCGCGAGTAGATTGCATGATCATAAAGAAATAACTGGTATTCAAGAAAAAATTGATCAAAAAACCTATCCTTCGTTGTTGCACGCACTGTATTTCATGTATTTAATATTTTGTAACTTTTTGCATGCTGCTTATTATTCAATATGTTCTTAATGAATGAAAATTCATTGAGTAAGGACTGAATTTTCTCATAAAAATTTAGTTTGTTGATATTACATGAAACTGACAGTTAAATAAATATTAGTTGATCGCAAAAAAATATTAACTTTTTCTCAGTCTCTTTTGAGATATATATGTAAGCATATCAGGTCTTAAGAGCCTTTTTCGAGAAATAGCTCGATATAGGTTGCTTAACATTTTTTTTAGTGTCAAAAATTCCAAAATTGAATTTCTTTCGAAGAAACATTTTGAATTTCTCCTTCGGATTGGACTAACACCCGTATTAAGAAGAATAGTTCAAGTGTTAATTACAATCGATAATCCATGAGCCTATTCATCAGTTCGAAACATTAATAAAATATATATTTGGTCGTGCTTGAGCTCTTTGAACTCGACAATTTAATAAATATCCAAAAAATAGTATTTTTTTAATACTTAGGATGCAATATGTTCCCTAAGAACCCACTGATCAAGATATGATTTATTGCATCCGATACATTTGATCGAGCTTAAAAACGTAGAAAAATTGAAAAAGCACGATTCTTTCGCACACGATGTGGAAAGGTAGATTTCTCAATTTGAATACAAAGTGATAGTTGAAATATTTGATTCTACCTTTAAAACGTTTATATAACTTATAAATTTAAGGGAAATTATACATTTAACCCGTTGAGGACACACGTCGAAAAAATTACGTTGAGGACACATGGGGTCCAGTGGACCCCACTCAGCAAAACAATTCTAATTCGTTTCCTATGTGATGTATTAACTTATCATTAGCACCAAACTTTAATATAACATTCCCTCTGAATATCTTTATAGTTATTTTTAATTTCTAATAATTTAAAAATACTGAAAAATCATGTAGAAAAAAAAACTTACGAAATTGAACTTTTTTATAAAAAAAGTCGCAGAAATTTTGATTTTTACGATATCGAAAAAAAAACCAACGCCATTTTATTCGGAAAACAATATATTTTAAGGAAAAAAATCAATATTTGATGAAGTTTGAAAAAAATATATTTATTCTCAAGTTTGAAGTTATGAATTTCGGTCAGTCGCTTAAAATGAGAATAAGACATTTAAACATGCAAAATAATATAGAAAGTTTTAGTTTTTTTGTTATAAAACTCTTTTATTATAATTATTACAATAAAAAAATAGAAATATCTTCAAGAATATCAATGAAATCAGCCGTAAATTAGACTAAGTCTCATTTACAAATCTCTTTCTAAATTTAAAATTGCCTTAAAGTTCGCCTAGGGTCCACTAGACCCCGTGTGTCCTCAACGGGTTAATATAGAAAATTGTAACTTATTTCATGAGCTACAATATGAACTCGACGGAATTTTGAAACCGTTAGTTATACAGTAGTTTTTCAAGGAAAATTACATAAAGATAATTATTTTGTATATTTTTGCCGATTTTGGAAGCTGTAGAAAAAATAGAAAAATGATTAAAAAAAAAAGTCCAAAAGATTAAATGGAAGTTAATTACACGAAGTTTGAAATTCAATTTTAAAAATTTAGTTATTAATTATGGTTTTAAAGTAATTTGGAAAAAAGAAAACATTTTTTAAGTCCCCATAACTTTTGAACTAATAGACCGATTTGGCCCATTTTCGAACTTGACTAAAACTTTTGATAATAGAATATATATATTAGGGTGTGCCAAATTGAAACTTCAGTGATGGACTTCTTAAAATTGGAATTTTGAGTTCCGCTTTTAACAGGAAATGTGTTTAGGTATTTCCTGAGATATTTTGAGCGTAAGGGATTTATTTGATTTTCATAAAATTTTTTAACAGGAGTTTTGTTTGGCCAAATTTTTAAATTTTTAAATTTCAGCAACAATGCCTAAACAAACCTCCTGTTAAAAAATTCTATGATAATCAAATAAATTCCTTACGCTCAAAATATCTCAGGAAATGCCCAAACACAACTCCTGTTTAAAGCGGAACTCAAAATTACAATTTTAAGAGGTCCATCACTGAAGTTTGAATTTGGCACATCCTAATATATATATATATATATATATATATATATATATAATTCTTGTATTATGTTATAACAATAAGAACAAGAGAATAGTTAGACATGCACCGGCAGATGTAAAGCTGATTACAAGTGCAAAAGTGCATTTGGATAAATGGAAATATATGTAATCATAATTAATGAAAACAAAGTTTGTTGATGAATTAGACAATCTCACCGAAATTAAAAATGTGCAATTCATTAATATATTAATAAATTATAATAATGATAATTTGAAAGTTTCGTATAATTATATGAAAATTTATACGCTTTAGAACAAATAAAGTGAAGAAGATCATAATCCTCTAATAATTAAATATCACTTAATAAAATTTAAATTTATGAATTTCATAGGATTACGCTAATTGATGATCGAGTTTGTTAAATAATTCATTGTTAATAGTAAAGTGTCTTTGAAGTAGTTTGAAGAACCTTAAGAATTCTAATGAACATATTTTTCCATTTAAATACCACGTAAAAAAATTTTATTTACGTTTTCATCCGGTAAAACGACGAAAAAATTTTTCTTTTGTATTTTTCGTCAATTATTCTTGTAAGAAATTTAATTCTCTATAAAAAAGTACTGAGGTAGTTTTTTCGTAATCTTAATGAGTAGAAAGTTATTGAGCTTTAAATACTTGCACAAAAGAAAATTTAAACGAAGATAGTTTCAAAACAACTTTTCGAAAACTTTTTTGGTAACTGCATGTATTTATTTCAAAATTTATCAAACTAGACTGTCTCTAATATAATTAACACATGTCTTTTGGTGAAGTATTAACTAAGAATTATGAATAATTTCTCTTATTACAATTTGGATATTTTTTCCTATGAGTAGTAATTTTTTAAAATTGAACTTGAATTTCATTACGGAATCTGAATCAAGAGCAAGCTAGTACTTCCGAATGTATACTGAAGTTATTTTTTTTTATTTAAGAACATGTATGACAGGTAGAACAGGTGAATATTTAAATTTTGAACATGATGCTGGGACAGTTTTTGACCGAATGAAAAATCATGAAACTTTGCAGGAGTACGTAAATAGAAGTCCTTCGTGAATTGATTCTTTTATTTCTGAATTTAATCATTAAAAAAAAATGATAAATAAACAGGTAGAGTTCGTGCGTAAAACTGCCTTATTGCCTAATAATTGCTAATAAACTTACAACCAATATAATCTTTGAGACTGATTTAATTTTTTCTTATTTTAGTTTATATGACTTATAAGACATAATTATTAAAATGCAGCTAGGTTAGGGTAAAAAACTAATTGTCAACAAAAAATTTAATTTACTATATATCTTCATGTAGGCCGCAAGAGAGTGCTAAAAGTAAATTATCTAGTTAAATTTTTTTAAGCAGTGGTTAGAGTTTTTACAAAGTCTGGTAATCTCCTTCAGTGCATTTTACATGTAGTTCAAGTAAACAAACCGATATATTAAATTGTCATTTGTTGTCACTGGTCCAGACTGAATTACCGATATCAGACTGTATACCATGTTTTTAAGAAAAAAATATAAATTACATAATCAAATACTTTGAAACAGAAAATGTGATACAACATGGATTCTAAAATCAAATCTGATTGAATTTTCTTTTATTGCGAGTATTTAAAGCTTAATAACTTTTTACTCGTTAAGATTACGAAAAAACTACTTCAATACTTTTTTGTAGAGAATTAAATTTCCTATAAGGATACTTGACGAAAAATACAAAAAAAAATTTTTTTCGTAGTTTTACCGGATGAAAACGTAAATAAAATTTTTTTACGTGTTATTTAAATGGGAAAATAGAGAGAATTTTTTTTATACCTTAGAAAAGTTTTTGAGACAGCAGCACTTGAAAAAAAAAATATGTATGTGTATCAGAGTACACAGGTAAGAAGTAAAACTTCTTTATGACACATCATTTTTCTACTATTTATAACTTCATAGAAATTGGGTAGAATAAAGGCTTAAGAAAAAAAAATTTTTTTCCATATTAAATCAAAGTTATTTTAGTATCATAGATATGCATACAAATAATATGAGTAATTCATTTTATTATTGCTCTTATTATAGTTATTGTATTTCATCAATTATGATCGCATCGTAATTACCATTGTCATTATTTAGATTCTGTCATTATTTAATCTAAAAATTAGTTAATCAGTTTACAAAAATTATATAAGGAACTTTAATATTCATATTTCATGTCATAACTTAGTAAAAATAATTTAAAGCAGATATTTAATAACTTACTCAATTACGCAAGTTATGAGTCAATAATTGGAATTATCTATTATAAATTACAACAAATCGATATCAAGTAGCAATTAAAGTAGGAAATTTCCTACGAAATAAAATGATTTTCTTCGAATTCAAAATAAATAAATAAATCATTAGAAACGATTAATTAAAAAAGATGTACGTATACATATTTTGTTTTCTAATTGTGTTTTGTTTTATTTTTAAATTATTATTTAATTTTTTTTAGAATTAAAAATGTTTACTTGGAGCGTAACCGACAATCGTGACGTTTTTTTTTTATATTGCTATAAAATTTCTCTCATACGTCGATAAAGAAGTTTTACTTTAATAATAAAGAAACAATTATTAGTATAATAATTAACTAGTAAACGAATACACAACCAATAGGGCGTGTATTCTTTCTCGATATCCCGTATTCTCTCTCTCTCTTGTTCAATCTTTCTCACTATAGCTCTCTCCCACCTCACACTCCATAGCACTATGCGTGATACGACGTTCGCTCTGTCTCACTTTTTCTCTCAATCTTTCTCACTCGCTTGCTCCCTACTCTCACTCCACGGCTAGTTGCTCATGCTACGTTCGCCCTGTCTTACTCTCTCTCAATCGGTCTCGATCACTCTCTCTCTCTTTTCCGACACTTCCGTTGCATACCGGCGTGACGTTTCATCTGTAAAAATTTTACCCTCATGCGCCTAAAGAAGTTTCACTTCAAAAATAAAAATGTTTTTTTTGGACCACTCTAGCTAAACATACATTAAAATCTTGTTAAAAAGGCGCAACACGATTACGAGCATTAGTAAAGGCCTATTTTAGAATAAACATACATTCATATATTGTTAAAAAGGCGCAACACGATTACGGGCGTTAGTAATAGCCTATTTTAGAATAAACACACATTAAAATATTGTTGAAAAGGCGTAACACGATTACGGGCGTTAGTAATGGCCTATTTTAAAGTAAAAATACATTAAAATCTTGTTAAAAGAGCGCAACACGATTACGGGCATTAGTAAGGGCCTATTTTAGAGTAGACATACATTAAAATCTTGTTAAAAAGTCGCAACACGATTACGGGCATTAGTAAAGGCTTATTTTAGAATAAACATATATTAAAATATTATTAAAAAGGCGCAACACGATTACGGGCATTAGTAATGGCTTATTTTAGAATAAACA